TCTTTCTATTTTTTTTTTTTTTTGGTTCGTCGAGATGAAAACGTTCCCGGTGATGAGTCATTTTATGAAGGTAAGGCGCGAGAGATGAAACGGAATCGAAATGGAAACGATGTCGTTGATCACGAGCTCTCTCTCTCTCGCGTCTACATGTCACGTTTGTACCGAAGAGAGGCACCCGATTCCAACTACCGGCATTTCTCTCGGTGGTATCTCGGCGAAACGATCTCGAGGCTTCCTCATAGTATTGACATTGTCTCTCTCTCTCTCTCTCTTTCTCTTTCTCTTGTACCAGACTAAGCCGAGATCTTCACGACGGTTTTAAAGCTGGATCGTTCGAAACGACAGCGGCATCCGAGTGTGATTTATCGCGCGATGAAAGCCCGCATCTCTTGCTCGTAAAATAAATTGATCAAAAAGCGTTTAGACCTCCTCTCGAGGAGACCGTGAGATAATAATCGAAATATCTTACGATATTTGCGGAAACAACGTTTTTCTCTTCTCAAATTGCAATTTGCAGAATTAAATTATTTCTGCAATATTATTTCTTAAATATTATTTAAATTATTTCTGCTTCTTAGTAGAAAATTAGTAAAAAATGATGTTGCAATTTACAAAATACACGTGTTTGATAAATTCGAATCACGCAATTCGAAATACAATTTAGCGCGAGGTGCCGCAGGATGACAATTCAATTCGAAGCGAGGTAGGTATGAGAGAAAAAAAAAATTGTCGGCGACCATCTGACCACCGACGTGGACAACAGAGGTCATCGCGAATATATATATACGTACATATATATACACACGCGAAACGATCGGGGGGTACCGGTTTGCGCGATCTGTTATAACTGTATACGGAGCCGGTATCGTATTTCACACAACGCGTGACAAAAAAGTAATTAAATCGCCGGACACGGCCGACCGGACACTCGCGCGGGTTAAAGGAGCGCGATCTATTCCGCGTGATGATAGTTTATTATTATTTTTTTTTTCTCTCTCTATCGACGCGCGCGCAAACGACGTGCCTGGATTCCCACTAGTGTCGGAATAACAAAAAAAAAAAGATGCGACGGATAAATCCGCGAGCGACATTCACGTGGAAATGAAAATTATTCCCGTTGCCGGGAGCGAGGATTAATTCCGCTGACTGGGTTGCTCGCGCGTCGATGGCGTTTAAAAACGCGAGTTAATCGAAAATTGAAAAACTCGTTCGCACGTATATAAGCGAACGGCGAATGCAATGGTTTGCGCGTTTCTGTTTTTTTTTTTTATGAATATTTTTATTTAGATTTTTAGAAAAAAACTGTGCAAAAGAATCTCAAAAAAAGCAAAGTGAAATCACGCGATTTGTTTCGTACGCACTCTCTCGTGCGTGTGCGCAAATGTCGCACGGGCGCCGGGCGCTAAGTCCATCGTCCATTGTCCTTGCCAATTACGGCTGATATTCACGCCTCGTCGTGCGCGCGACGTACATGCGCGCAACGTAACATACAACATGCGCGCGCGCGACCTGACCGGTGTTCAAAGAGAGAGATTCTAGATTCCAGGGGAACGGACGACGCGCCTCCCTCCGGGGGTATCGCGCGGAATTCGTTACCGGACACACAGAGACAGGAACTTCGGAGAATGCTAATCTACCGTATCAAATTCTCCACCACGCGCTGCGTAATGTATTTACAGCGAGTTCCAGTTGGGATGATCTCTATCGGTGCTATTTGTTCAAAAAACAAAAAACAAAAATGTAATTTAATTAAATTAAGCGATTTTTTTTACAAATCAATTTTCTCGAACGGCAATTTCGTTTGAAGGTAAGTGACTATAAACTATCGCGTCTCTGTTTTTCTGACGTGTATGATTTTTGATTACGAGCGGGTTGATTCTCTGCTATTCAATCGCAACCCCTCTCGCTGTAAATTCATTTTACGTCTCTGCGCGTTTTACCTCGCCCGTACGACGAAAAACACGACGTTGTGTGCGTTGTGTGTGCTTTGACTCGGCAATACGAACAAAGAGAGACTGGCCGATCGGAGAGGCCATTCGCTCGAATAATAAATATACGCTCGAAAAAGAGAGAGAGAGAGAGAGAAAAGAGAGGGTCGTTAATTACGCCGTGAGATAACGCGAGCGCGACCCCCTTTTGTGGCGCGCGCGCGCGCGCTTTCAAGAGAGACCCGCTTTTGTCCCACTTAGGCGCATTTACCCCGACAATTCTGTTCCCGTATGCATACGTACGTAACGCGCGCGAGGGACGCGCGTGACCCCGCGTACACACACACACACATCGGGGAATCGGTGCGAGAAACTGGTATGTGTGTCGTCGATCACGAAGCCGGGTGGCACCGACAAACGGCGGCGAGTTTCGATTCAAGTGGCCGCGGAGTGAGTCGTAAGTGGAGTACTGGGGCGAAAAACCGCCTCCCCACCCCCCCGGATCGGCGGCCCGCGCGATTATCCGCGCGCGCGCGCGCGCACACACACACACGAGCAGATTCCGATCCCCGTTAGAGATCGGAGAAACCTCCGCGATCGCCGCACTACTTCCTCCTACGTCCGCGTTCGCTACCAACCGGCCGCGTTTTTCTTTTTCTTTCCGTTGCCGTGAAAATTGCGGCACGCACGCTGACGCGTTTTTCCGTCGCGCGACCGCTCACCGCGCGATACGCAGCGGCTACACGTGTAAAATCCTCGGATTGCGCGACGCTGTCGCGTCACCTGTCGGTGACGCGCGACGTGTTTGCGCGATAACTGTTTTAAATGGTCATAATTTTTTTTTAATCGAGCGCGCACGTGTGCGCACGTTCATCATTCTTCATGTAGAAAAATTGTTCTCGCGGAGGATTCGCAAAATAAATACCCGCGCAGTCGCAATGAAGATAACGAAGGTCTGTACGATACGATAATTGCGTAAGATTGGGAGGATTAATTGATTGATTTTGCTTTATTACGCTCTGGGATAAGATCCCCTCAAGCGTTAAAAACTTTAACAAAATTTAAAAACAAATAAAATTTATAAAAACAAAACAAAAAGAGAAAATATAAAAGAAGTGAGTAAGAAAAATTAACATAAAATTAACATAAAATTTTAAACATTAGTGGCCAACAAATATTCAAAAAATTTTCTTTTAAAAGTATAGAGGATCAGAGATTTGTAAAATAATTTTTATAAATTATATATATATATATATTTTTGTTTTACAATAATTTTCAAGTCACTCTCTTCGTTCGCGAGAAAAACAAACAAATTTATAAAAAGACGTTGCGGCAACATTTTTGGACAAAAACACCTGCGAGTTCTCACGCGCGAGAGTTGCGTGCGTGCGGACACCGATCGGATTTTCATAATCCGCGATAAAAGCGCAATTGAATTCGCGAAGTTTCTTCTCGTGTAGTTTCGTCGGCGCCGGAAGGATCGGAGAAGATCCCCCGCGGGCGTTCAACGCGATATATATCCCCCCTCACCCCCCGACGCGGATGTGTGTGCGAAGATCCCGCGGGTTTTGAATTTATCGCCATCTCGCACGAAAACATTCTTCATGCTGTTACACGGGCGGAAGGCCGCGGAGTTTTCGCGGCGCTGGTTCTTCGCGCGCGAGAGGAAAGGTACGTAATCTCTCTCTCTCTCTCTCTCTCTTTTTCTTTCTCAAGTTACTTTCCGGAAGTGCTCGGCGCGGATTAGTTTACCGGTCCGGGTGACAGCGGGCAAAAATGACCACGACGCGAGCAAAATTATGCGCGCAACCAACGCTAAACCCCCCGCCCCCCCCCCGCGCCGAGCGCGCGTTGCGCAGCGCGCGTTTTACCGATGAATTATGTTTTCATTCCGCCGCGCGGAGAGTTGAAACACGGTCGGGAGAGAATTATTCTGGCAAGTAAATGACACCGACGAGCTCTGTAATCCGGCATTCCTCTTCGCGAATTTGAATAACGGGAGTACAATGGCGTGTATGTACGTGTAACGTTACCGCGCGCAAAGAGAGAAGGTATTTCGACGCACAAGGCCGGATTCCTCCGGACTTTTCGCTACGAATTCTTAACGAGATCGCGACTCTCTGACCGACGCAAAAGGAATCCGAATGACGAGGAGGAGGGGGGAGAAACAAATTGCGCGGCACAAGTTACGAATTAAAACAGCGGCGATCGCATTCTATCCGCACGCGACAAAAAAAATGACGTTGAATCAACAATATCGGTTTGATTGAAATATATCCCGTCGACGCAACATCAATACCCATGTAGGAATTGCCGACAGACTTCCAGTAATACTGCTAGGCCAACAATGGCCCAACCTTTATAGCCGATACTCGATATTGACAATTGGTCCAGTATTGTCCCATTTTTGTATTTTATAACAGCCCAATATTGGCCCGTTTGTTCACCAGTGTTCGGCATTCATATTGGGCCAGTACTGGCAAGAAGACAGGGCCGATATTGGGCCAGTATTGGCAAGAAGACAGGACCAATATTGGCCCGTTTGTTCACCAGTGTTCGGCATTCATATTGGGCCAGTATTGGCAAGAAGACAGGACCAATATTGGGCCAGTATTGGCAAGAAGACAGGACCAATATTGG